CAAATGTTTTTTGGGTTAATCATTACATTTTAAATATTATTTTTTCATCTATATATTATCTATACTATTGTATTTAATTTTGTTTAAAACTTGGGTTTCATATACGAAATTGTAACATTTTTCTATATTTGAACTATAAATACGATAGGTAGTGAAACATTTTTCTGAATAGTTTTTAGAATGAAATAATTCACCATAGCTTATTCAGATTTATATCATCAGTATGACCACATCTCATCAATCTTAGTGACAAACGAAAAATTCAAACTAAGTATTTTTAGACGTGACCGTTGAACAAAATAACAAACCCACAGCCTTAGGTTGTTTCTTTTATTTTTCTTTGCGCTTTTTGCAAAAACCACTCTATTCACAGAAATAGTTAATATAACATAACTTTTAACTTATTAGTTAAAAAAAAAATAGACGAACTTTTATTTTGATAACGGTATGGACCAAAGTGGAATGTACTATCCATACTTATCAACAAATAGTTATTAGATTAATTTTTTACTAATAATTATTTTAAAGTTAGTTTTACTCATATGAACACAATCATTGCTAGGTTAGATTATGTAAACTTGAAATAATAACAAACTTACACAATATTCAAATAAATATACTCGTATCTTACTAAAATAACAAATTAGCTATATTTTAAGCATCAGGTATCAATTAGTTTTTGTTTATTCGATGATACAATAAACTCAAATATATCTTATGTCCATCACCCACTAAGATTATTTAAATAGTAATACTTCTTTATTAACAATAATAAAATTAATTTAAAATCTAGTTTACTGTTAAAAACATTAAAAAATTTAAAACTTCTTACATTGCATTTTTTACTTTGATATTTTCTTTCGATAATACAATAAAAATTCAAATATAATTTTAAAAAACCAAGAGTTTATTAGTTTATAAAAATCAGTCATATTTTTATTGAATGGTCTTTAGAAACATTTTTGAAAAAATAATTTTTTTTCTAAGTCCGTGTTTTAATTATGTCTCGATTCTTTTTTAACTGCAATTTCTTAAATTATTTCATTGTTATTGATTTATAATTGTTTGGATAAAAACTGAACCTAAATAATCTTTGCTATACGATATTTATACAGTATCTTCTAAATTATTCACATTTTGACCAGGTCGTCATCGTAATTGCCGTCAGGTGCTACTATTCTTCTTATCTTTTGGATGTTGATCAATGTGAATGGAAGAATGGAGTGTCGATACTCCTTGCTTTGCTTGGTTGGAGGGATTTATTGTCCTTTTCCCGAATTTCGAGAGAGGGGGTCTCCATAACTCAGAGTAGAAAGTGGGTGGATGAGGTGGTTCTTAAGTGCACTTGGTTAGTTCGCCAGGTCTTTTTCTGTTGAGTTCTGCTGAGCCAATGGTTTTACCTATTTCTTTCAAATGATTGTAGCAGGATAGGTGCAATTTGGATAACATGTTTCTTGAGCTGAGGATGATGGCAGATTGAATTGATGGAGTTTGGGTTGAGCTGGATATGATTGAGTTCCTGATGAACCAGGGAGAGCTAGTGATAATTTGAAGTGCTATGTTTTGGATAGCATCGAGTTTTCTCTAGTTAGCGCTTGAAATCAGTACAGCCAATGCTGGGCCAGCGTAGGTGAGTATTGTTTTGATGTACATTTTGTATATGTTTAATTTTGCTCGAACTGGTATTGGACTGCGGGAGTTGAGTACGAAGTATAATGCGGGTCGGGTGCTCTTTGCTTTCTTTACAATTTCGTTGACGTGTCGGTTGAATCGTAGTCTGCTATCGAGGTGGACTCCAAAATATTTGGCTGTTGGTTTCCATGTGATATTTTGATTGTTGTTAACTCTTAGTGGTGTTGTGTGTCTTAGACCCTTCTTCCAAATTTGATTGCCAATGTTTTTCTGATGTTTAGAGTCAGTTTCCAATTTTTAAGCCAAGGGAGAGTGATGTCAATTTGTGCTTGGAACTTATTTACTGCATGTTGCATGCTCACGATGGTTTTCATGAAAATGGTGTCATCAGCGAAGAGGTTTATCCAGGTTCCGAGGGTGGTGGATATATCGTTGATATATGCAATGAATATCAGTGGTGACAGGCATAACCTCTGGGGGACGCCTGCAGACGGTGTTCTTAGTTCTGAGAAGGAGGTGTCTACACGAACTAAATATGTTCTGTTAGAGAGGAAAGATTTTACTAGGCTTATTAGTGATGGTAAGATGTGTAGTTAAGTAGTTTGTGCAGAAGTCCGTCGTGCCACACTTTGTCGAACGCCTTTTCGAAATCCAGGAATACTACCGCTGTCTTTTCCTCTCTTTTGGTTGTATTAGCAAGGTGGTCTATTACCTTCGTTAGTTGATTAGTCGTTGAGTGTTGCGGTCTGAATGCGAATTGATCTGCACGGATAGCGGTGGATATGACCTTCTTAAGATGAATTAATATAATGATTTCTAGAACGTTGGCCATTGAGTTAATGAAAGCGATAGGACGGTGTTTGCTCGGATTTCTCAGGTCTTTGCCAGTTTTAGGAATCATAATCACTGTAGCTGTTTTCCAAGGGGTAAAGAAGTTTTTGTATATCAAACAACAGTTAAGAATTTTGGTCACTCTCAGGATGGTCTTCTCTGAGAAGTGTCGGAGTGCTGTATTCGATATGCCGTCAGGACCCGGTGCCTTGTTTCAGGGTAGGTGCTTGATGATGTTTTTCACTTCTCTTGGAGAGACCGGCTGAATAGGTGGTTTTTCTATTGAATTCAAAAACTGTATTGAGTTGGTAACTAATGAGTCAGTGGCTGGGGTTCAGATCAGGCAGTTGAATTGTGAGGCTAGGTTAGTGGCAAAGAATTCAGATTTTCATGGAGAGTTGAAGACTGTACCTAACTGTCCATTTAGTGAGTGGTTTGGAGGTATTTTATTAATAATCGATTTGTTGATTTTGAATACTTTTGTGTCGTTGGGCTTTAGGTTTGCGAAGAAGTAGTCCCATTTAGATTCTCTATGGAGTTAGATGAACCTTTTGACTTTGGATGTTTGAGTGTTGAATCAGTGTTTGGCTTCAGGATTTCGCGTTCTTTGCCAAGCTTTTTGTAGTCTCTTTTTTTCTATCAATTCTTGTTGAATTATGTCTGGTATGATTTTGTAGTTTGGTACATTTGAAGTGTTATTGGACAAGGCATTTTGGACTATGGAGGTGATTTCCTTGACCTCCTGATCGAGTTCAGCCTTTGAGAAGATAATCAGATTTGGATGACTTGGAATGGTGCAGTGCAGGTCGACTGCGAATCTTGGCCAGTTTGTTACAGTCCTTCGAGTCGTTAGAGGTTCAGCTGAAGGTTTACCGCGTAGCGTTATGATGACCGGACAGTGGTCAGATGAGAATTAATCGATGTAGTTATAGAGTTGGTATTGGAGATTGTTATTCTTCAGTATTCTTCAATATCTAAGACCTCCGGTTGGTGGTTATGTTGATCTGGGTAATGAATCGGTGTGTCTGGTGCGACAATGGTGTAGTTGTTTTTTAGCATGTGGTCTTGGAGTAGAAGGCCAGCAGTATTTGTTCTTTGGCTGTTCCAGAGAGGGTTATTCGCATTTAAGTCGTCTGTGAGTATTGTTGGGAAGTCGATGTCTAGGAGGTTGTCAATGTCTGAAGTGGATAGTCGATTAACAGGCCTTTTGTAGATTTCCGAAAGTCTGGTTTCTTGGTTGTTTATCTGGATGTGGATGGTGGTGTTTTCCAGTGTGTTTGTCTAGAAGGGGAATACATAGTGGACAATGTTGTTGGCTATTAGGATCACTGTACCTCCTGCACCATTCTGACCGGGTATTGTAAGTCAGTCGTTTCGGTAAGTGTGGTAATTTGGTAGTTTGAGTAGAGTTGTGTGGGTTTGAAGTGGGTTTCGTTGAATAATATGATGTGGATTTTATGTTGTTGTATGAGTTGGAGTAGTTTGGATTTTTTATTGCCTAGTCTTTGACAATTAGAGTATAGGATTTTTAGTTGTTTATCCATCTTGATCGATGAGAGAAACGATGGTCGATATTGCCAGCAGGATGGTATATTTAAATTTGGATGCTGTGGATACTTGATAAATGGCGTGATTGAGTGTATCTATTACTTTTTTGTTTATCTTGTTAGGTAATTGGACTGAAGCTGGATGATAAGTATTTGACGGTAATAAAGCTTATGCGTATATAATCTGTTTAGCGTGGGTGATCGTTGTTGGTTCTAGAGGGTTGTGGCGTAATGATTAGTGGGTTTGCTTTCTTCACTGTAGTGGCCTTGATGAAGGCATGGCATTAGCTGTGTGTTGGCCGTTACAGTTCCAACATTTTAATGGTTGGTCTGGAGTTTTGGTGCAGGTTTTAGTTGCATGGTCGTTGCCGCATTTCACGCATTTCAGTTGATGTTTGCAGTGTGTCGATGAGTGCTCGAATCCCTGGCATGCGAAGCACTGAGACGGTCCGGAAGTTTTGTAAGCTTCTACACGGATGATGACGTAGAATAGACTAGAAAGTTCGATTATGTGTTTGCTTTCCTGGGAATTGGGGAGGCATACCATGTACATTGGAAGTTTTCTACCGTCTTTGAGGAACTGGCGTACGTAGGTGACGGTGTATCCTTGGAGTTCTAGTTTGAATTCAACTAATTCTACAGAATTATAGCTAGGGAAACCTCTAAGTAAGACCTTAAGTTGTCGTTCGGTCGGAAGAGAGAATATGTGGAATGGTATGTTGGCGGATACCATTATGGTTTATACTGAACGGAAGATATTTAAGTCTGCTGATTGGAGTTCGTTATTGTTTTGGCTGAATATGGCTGTTAGTTGGTCTCGGGTGAATAACGGCATTATTTGAGGCGTGGCTGTGGCCCAGTGTGACGGGTGGATGATGATTGGTGGTATTCGTTCACGCGAAGTGACATGACGTGTTTGGTTAGGCGGATCGGGTGATTGGTCACTAGTTTGGATGGTGGTGGAACCTTCGGTAAAAATTTACGACTCACCTGATACCGACTCTTGATTGGTCGATTTCGGAGATGTGGACGCCGATCTTTATTTTCCCATTGGTTCGTCTATGCGTTCTTTTTTATTCGTGGTGGTTGGTAGGGTATGGTTTCGCTTGGTTCCTCTGCGACCTCTTCTGCCCATGGCTCTGGGCGGTGGTTGCAGAGTCTGATCGTGTGTGGTAGCAAGTACGCACTGGGTGCACGTGCTTAGCCAGCGTGGATGTGTGGTTGTTGCGGCTGGCGTGTGAGTGTAGGAGATGGTCACGGCGAGCGCGAGGTGGCGAGCACAATGGTATGATTATAAATTCAGTACTGTAAGTTGGAATGAATACTGTTGTTTATGTGCAATGTAAAAACGATGAAACACTAATGATTACATACGATGATTGTATCAATGCTCTGAAAAGTGACCGGTATATATACCCAATCAGACAGCCGACGAAGTAAAACGACACTATTCCTCCGCTGTATTGGTTGCCTTTATATCGTTTTACATCGTCACAATGTTGTTCTTGGTGGCCCTGAAAAGGGCCGTTTTCGTCTGAGCGCGTTACAATCTCATGTGATTGTCATGGGTGTAATACTTTTGGTCAAAATAGTATACACAATCACAAAAAAAAAAAACATCTAGATTAACCAACACATTTTTTTTTATATCGATCTTTTGAGTGTTGTTAGTAATCCACCCTATAAACATTGATACCTGATAAAGTATTCATATATTTCATGGGGCATGTACCTTTTCCGCCAAAAATCCGATTCTTTGACTTACGCACAGCCCTATATCACCTGAAACGAAAAAGGTATGATTCCCGTTTCCACACAAAATTTATTTTTGTGAAAAGACGTTTGGGAACCATGTACAATTGTTACATATTCTTTCATTATAAATTTTGATACAAGTAGATAATAATAATACATTAGTCGAATATAGGTACAATTATATTAGAGTTTTTAAAGTATTATATAATTTCATATTATAATTTGTCTATTCTATTTAACCATTTATGAATTAAAGAACAAGGATAGGTCAAATATTGTCTCGATAGAATTTTGAAAAAACACATATCGTCATAGATAAATAAATAATTAAATAAATATATTTATTTTACTCGTAGATAAAAAACGTACCTTTCATTGCAATTATTACTTTTTCTTTTTCAAAAAATATTGGGCTAACAATTTTTCATAAAACATCTCCACCGAGTTACATTTGTTTGTGACTTATAACCAAAAACATATTTAAACCCATAAAAAATCAACATTGTCTTACCTCTTTTACTTACAACAAATTCCATTTTAATAACGTTTAAGTGTTCTGGGGACAAAAAGAACAGATACTGAATGGAAATATAAAAATTTAACATTTGTCAGATAATTATTGTCTGCGAATTATAAATAAACTGTGATACAGTATATCGAACAGTATACCGTTATTATCGACGATTATCAGTGTATACATTACAAATTTATTTTGCACTACCATAACATATATTCAATATTGCTTAGAAATTAAAACCAATGGTTTTCAAATTTTTTTTTGGTGGAAATAGCTAAACGGGAAACTCCCTTTTCATTTAAAATACAGGTACATACATACAGTTCAATGTTTTCATATGTATTTTTATACATTATGTCTATTTTGAATATAAAGTGATAATTTATCACTGATAACTTTTGACATTCAAATAGTTTCCAATATTTTACATTTTAATAGCTCATATAACATTTTTTCTACATTTTGATTTATAATTATAAATAATTAAATAATAAAAAATAGGGAAGAAAGATTATCCAAAAATAAATATCATATTTAAAATGTTAAGTCCATCTTGTTTCATTTCTAGCATCGCCTTCTATTTTTTGTGACAAAAATTTGTTTACTTAAAAAAAATTACATGGAACATTATATTTTAATAACATTTCCCAGTCTCATTATATATTTAGTATTCATTTTCGTGGAATGCTACATTATAAAAAAGTGAAAATCATGTACATTTTTGAGGTTTCATTAAAATATACAAATATTCCCAAAATAACTTGATTTACAAATAATAAGACATAATATTCGTCTTAATCGATTTTTTAACCTTAAAATAATTTTATTTTTATTTGGTTTTAGCTTGTACGTTTTTTCAAACCTCTTAATTATAATAGCGCATATAAATAATTAGAATATTATCAACAAATGCAAAACAACTAATATCGAAATTATTATTTTAAACGTAATATATCATATAAAATTTTTAGAAAAAAATATATAACACTCAACCCTAGCCTAAATTAGTCACATCAAATATTTTTAATTGAATTCTGACATACTCTCAAGAAACAAACGAATGGAAAAGTCAACATTGTGTTCGAACGCCATTTTTTATAAACAAACATAAAAAATGAAGTTTTTTAATGTGTTTTCAACGTTGCTTTCAAAGTCATAAAATAAAACATTTAAAATAAAAATTAAAATAGGAAATTGGTCAATTGAGAAATTACATTTTTATAGAATCGATGTTTCGGACGTATTTTTTTAACACAACTTCTTTAATAAAAAAATATTTTCAATATATTTTAATAATCCTTATATATAAACAACACTTTTAAAAAAGAACCATAAAAATCGAAATTATGTTTTTATTGTTTAGAACTATCGTTAAATATTAATTTTTTGTAGTTATAGTTGCATTACAATTAGTTGTTATTACATGTGGAGAATTTATATTTATTGAGTTTGAACTACATTGCACTTTCTATAACTATTAGATTTACAGACAACGGTAGATACTTCACAAACTGTATGTATATCATTAAAACATATAAAATGATTAATGCGATATTTGTAAAAATTGAGAATCAATACTGAACCACTGCATTCATAAAACGTTATGGAAAAATCTTAGTTTACTATATAGTGCGTAGATGAAATTATACATTATTGTTTACAAAATATACCCAGCGAATATAAAACAATTCGTTGTTTACCAAAATATTCGAGTATATAAGATAAAGTTGGAATGTAGTAATGATTGGCCGAGAGCATAAAATAATATTACGCGCACCCGGACAACGACCGACTACTTCGTACGTTATGCTTTGGACCACCGACCGACCGAAATTGTGTAGTGTACTGTGTATTAGCTCAAATAGAATTGGTTGGGTTCACCGCGCAAAGACTAATGAGTTATATGGTGAAAAATGTGTAACTGTGTGCATATATATGATTATTTGTATTGTATGTACTTAAAAACTAATTTAAAAAGGGTAACTAAATAATAGTAAACACTTTTATAAAATGGTAACTATTTTACCATACTGTAATAAATAAATAAAAATACAGCAAATAAATTACAACAACATAGAATAATTAAATAAAATAATAATATAAGAATGATAAATAATTTGCTGTATTGGTGTTTGAGAAATAATAATTTAAATGAACACAGGAATAATTCAAAGCAGCACAGTAGCAAAAAAATATAATATAAAGTATATAGTCCCTTTGGCTCAGTATTGATAAAAATAATAACAAACGGTCTATTGGTCCAGCAATAAACGAATAACATAAGAAGATAGATACAAATAAATAAATAAAAATAAAATCCACAGTTGTGATAGATGTAACACGGTGTTTTAGCGAATAAAATAAAATAATCCATCTAAAATAAGTAGTAAAAGTATGATTAATAACGCACATACTATTAATAAAATAATCGAAAATGGATGAACCCAAAGTATAAAACGTGAGAGTATAAAATAATAATGTGCAACAGATTGAATGCATGTACAAACTATTTGATACAATGACGCGTTACGGCGATATTAGAAATTCCAGAACACCGTAGGCCGCGTTCACATCATTCGACGTATTCGGATTATTTTTAATAAATTATTAGATGTTCGTACTAAAAGAATTACGGAAAAAAGATTACACGGTGTAAGTAGCGCGTCGGAACATTAAAAATCAATTTTAGCTAATAAGCTTACAAGGACGTGCACTGTTGGCAGGATTTAGATTTTTCTCGGCCCTACGGTGCACCAAGAAACGTGATTGTCGAAACGGCTCGTTGGTTCCCGACGGATATAACGTGACCCCCTACGACAAACGAACGTTACGCGACGACCGTTAAAACGTTCGAGTCGAACGAATTGACTTGACAACGACAAATTCTTTTAATTTTTTCGCGACGACCGGTTTTTACGATTCGATCGTGATCAACTGCCCGTTGCCGGCCGGCACCGAACACTAGCACGTGCGATCGTGGCCGTTTCCGGTCGATGCGCCGTACCCGTTTTGTCCGGGACACGATTTCAGAGCAATCACTTACCTAACGGATTGCGCCACCGGCCAAACGCGTTCGATGCGAAACTGCACTCCCGATACGATGCCAGACCCGGGTGTTCCGACCCGCGTGTATATCGCCGGTGTCAGCGGTTGCACAACGACTGCCGCGGAAGACTGTCGCGCGATTCTCATCACCCGTCCGTATAGGGGCGCTGCCGCGAGACGTCCGTCCGAATCCGTTCCGCGGGTTTATGTTTCGCGAAAACCGTTTCCCCGTACGCACACGTACGTCATTTCCACGCCGTGTTCGACGTACGGTACATTTCGGATTTTTTTTTTTTTTTCACGAACCCCTTACCGATACGCACTTGCTTGCCAGCCGACATGAAATCTCTATCGTATACCAACGACGTTATCGTGTACAATATCTTGTAAAACGTATTTTCATTGACGGGAAAAACAAAAATAAATCTGACCTTGAAACAGTGGCGGCACGTGGGGTTCATTGAAGGTATAGCACAACAAAGTTCCTCCTTTTTCACTATCTCATCTTCGAAGTTACCAACGATGCCTGTTGATTTTTTAAATATAATAAAATTGTTTGTGTATAAAAACCTTTAGTAATATTTTTGAATTCCAAATCGATTTGCCTGTCTTTTTTTCTTCATTAATACTTTGATGAATTTATTAAATTAAATTAAAAAATATTTAATAAATTAGGTATTGTAAATTTGTAACGTATAAAAAAGAGCACCGTCAAATGAAAATACATAACACTTAATTTACGATAAGACCGACAAAATCTCGTAAATCGTTATAAAAATAGAATTCGGACACAATACGATTGTGCTCGGCAACCCCGTATTAATTCTTATCAAAAAGTGGAGGAAATCTATCACTGTTAATCGGACCATCAGGGCACAACGAATTTGTGCTCGTCGTCTAATGACCGTATAATATAGTATCGGTATGTACGTATTGTACGTAGGAGCACCCGTATTTGATACAACTTTTTTTTTTCGATATTTTCAAA